GAGGGGGGAGGGAAGGAAGAAGACAGGGAGTGGGGGAGAGGAGGAGACAGAGAGAGAAGAGTGTAGTGTGTATGTGACAGTGTACATGTGTGTGGGTGTGTTATATGTGTAAGACTGTGTATATGTGTAACAAAGTATACACATGTAAATTTGTCTGAGAGTGCATGTGTGTATGTTTATGTGTGAGAGTGTGTATGTGTGTATGAGAGTGTGTATGTGTGTGAGTATGTGTGTATGTATGAGTGTGTATGTGTGTGTCAGTGTATCTGAGAGTATAAGTGTGTGAGAGAGAAAGAGTGTGTGTGTGCATGCACACTTTCCTAGAGATTGAATCCTGCCCCTCATAAATGCTAGGCAGGTGCTTTCTAACAGGATCACACTCCTAGTCCTTCAGTCTTACAGAACGAAGTGACTCTGGATATGTCGGCAGGAAACAATCCCCAGGATGTACTGTGGGATGCTATCATCCTGGAGAGACACTACACTTAGAGTTGCTTTTATAACGGAAGATGAGAACAATGGGTCCATATTTCAGCTCCATCGGGGACTCAAGATTTGCAACTGCTTCTTTTGAGTCACTCTGGCTACATAACGTCTGCTTCAGTATGCCTGTAAATCAAATGTCAGAACAGAAGCAACTCTTGCTTATAGCTTAGTTGGACATTTCCTGGAACTAAAGGGCCAACATTAAAGAGTTCTCTCTTGATATTTCATTAAAGTAACTCGGAAATCAGGAAGCAAATCGCCAGCCCTGCCAGTCTGTCCTACAAAACCGGGACCATGCCTGAAGGTAAGGACAGGGAGCAGCCAGGCGGAATGGAAGACACAGGTAATCCTAGCACTTGGGAGGCAGAGGCAGACAGAACAGGAAATTCAAGGCCAGCCTGGGCTACACAGTCACAGAGAGCCTGTCTTAAAAAAATAAAATAGAGTAAAAATAAAAAGAGCGGCTATCCTTTCCACAGAATGTGTTCAGTTAGGCTTCTAAACAACATCCTTCTCCTCCATGTTTTTTTCTTTAAACAGGGTTTTCACGAACTCCAGGCTGGCCTTGACCTCACTGTATAGTTAAGGATGACCTTGAGCTCCTCATCCTCCTGCCTCCACCTCTGGAGAGCTGGGATTAAAAGCACAGCCTACCATGCCTGGCTTTCTACTAGACCCCTTTTTCCTAACGACTGAAATAAGGCCTGAGAGCTCCTAAAGACCCAGCAACGGAGAGCTGGCTGGGTACCCAAGCTCACCTGCCCTGCATCTCCTGGAAGGCAGCTCTGCAACCTGGTGCCATCGTTCCTCTTTGAAGTCGTAGCATTCCACGCTTCGGATAGCCTTTGGTGCCTGGCCCCCGACCACCACCATCAACTAAAAGGGAACAAACGTAAGTGCTTGAACCAGTGGTATCAAACGTAAGTGCTTGACCTTCAGAGACATGAGACCAGATTGTGCCGGCTACCACAAGCTGGAAGAAAATGCCTCCCTAACCAACACATCAGTGATGCCAGCCAGGGGCATGTGTTAGAACGGCAATTCTATCATCTAGAACATTTGGTTTAAAAATACAGCTTTCAGAAATGTAAAGAGGCTTCTGGTCACTCAAGCAAAAGCAGTATTTAAAGCAAAACAGTGGGGAGCCAGCACTGGCAGGGCTGCAGAGTGTCATGGGGCTTGCTGTAAACCAGATCGTGGTTCTACAGTGATCAGAGGCAAGGCTGACAGGGCATAGGAGACAGAAGTAAAGTATGTTACCAGGCGGCAAGTGTAAGGACAGTAAAGCGTTCCTAGATGGAGAAACCGTTTTAAAAAGGGAACCTGGAGTAGATGAGAATACAGAATCACGTACTCTCCTGATGCTCCATCAATACACCATCATCAGAACACAACGGAGACATCAAGCTCATGAGGACCACACGAGAATCAGTCTACTGCTGGAAATAAACGAGCGTGCGCTGTGGAGTCAACCCGACAGCTGACTACCCAAGTCCTCGTCCACACCTTTGTCTGCCTGGAAGTATGCTAGGGACCACACAGGACACGGTTTCTACCCACCAAGAGCTTATACTCCTCACTAAGGAACTAACTCCCAGGATGGAGTTCAAGACCAATATCCAAATATATACAGTTGAATACTTATATGGCAGTAACTGCTATTGGTGACCAGAAAAAGAGGAGTGGCCACAACTCAGTGAAAGCTTTCTAAGGAGCTGGAAAGATGGACAGGACATAGAAACTCCTGTGTTTGTCATTTACCATACACATGGGCACTTTCTGGTAACGGGGAATAAAAAAACGGTGATGTCAGGTCAATGTCACAGTTAATGAGGTCTTGAATGAAAAGCTGCAAAGAACGGGCAGGTATTTGAGGGGAAGATGAGACCATGACAAGGGAAATGAATACTGAAAATAAAAAGTCAAAACAGACCCAGTGTGGAGACACATGTGGTTTGTGGCCCTGGCAGCATGATCACCTACCTGTACCTAAAACTACAGAAAGGTGTGAACATAGAGCGTGATTCCAGATTCACAGCAAACCCCAAGTCTCAAAACAAACAAACAAAAAAACTCAAAACAACGTAGCACAAGTTACCAAATAAAACCGAAACCCTTAGACATATTAAGGCTTAGCATAGACCAATGGTGTGAATATATCTCAGGCTATTCCTCTAGCTCTGACTTCAAATAAATATGAATAAAAGAGACTCAATGCACCCTATTAAGACAAGGTCAGGCAAACAGTATGAACAGTAGGAGGCAGACTGTAAAAGCAGTCTTGCATGGTATGTCACGCCCAGCCTGTGCATCCAGATGTGTGCTCACACCTCAAAGCTCAGTCCAACAATGACACAGTGTGGAAAGTGATGTATCCAGTGAAGATCAATTCAAACATCAAACCTCAGAACAGAATGTAGATACCTTCAAGACTGTGTTCTTAACTTTAATTATGTGCATATGTGTGTGTTTAAGTGTGTGTTTATGCATGCTGAGTACGGTGTCTGCAGAAGCCAAAGGACAGGAGTTCTGGGAACCAAACACAGGTCCTCTGCAAGCACAGTGCACACTCTTGAGCACTGAGTCATCTATCCAGCCCCAGAACATTGTAAAATCCCCACATTGATTGACAGATTTCTCAATTCTCAAAGTGAAATTCATTCTTTCCACACTGAAATGAGAACAGAGAAGAAAGCATGTCACTACAGAGGACCGGAGCATCTTCAATTTTCTTCTCCAAGAAAGACAAAGTGGGATAGAAATTGGTACTCCAACACAGTACAAGCAGGAAGGATGCACTGGAGAGGAGAGAGCGGAAGATACCGAGAAACTGAAGTGTTGCAATCAGCAAAAGGGCTGTCATATCCTAGACTGCCGTGAACGGTAACATTGGGGGAGGCCAAGAGGAAAAAGAGAATAAATTTATCCTAAATGCAGGTTGCTTAGACTTCCTTCACCCAGAATTTCATCAATATTTATTTACCAAAAGGGAGGGGTTATCAGAGACAACACCGCACACTAGCAGAACACATATGGTAGGGCTGGAGAGATGGCTCAGGGGTTATGGGTATGCACTGCTCTAGTTCAGTTCCCTGCACCCAGGCTGGGTGGCTCCCAAGTGCCTGTCACTCCAGCTCCAGAGAATCCAATGCCCTTCTCTGGATTTCCTGTGTACCTGCATGCACATGCATATTAATACATACAGACACATAAATAAAAATAAACCTACAGGGCAGGAGAGATGGCTCAGCTGTTAAGAGCACTGACTGCTCTTCCAGAGGTCCTGAGTTCAATTCCCAACAACCACACGGTGGCTCATAACCGTCTGTAATGGGATCCAATGCCCTCTTCTGGTTGTCTGAAGACACTACAGTGTACTCTTATACAAAATAAATAAATAATCTAATGAAAAAAACCCAACAAACTAAAAAGCATAGTTTCTGTTATGATATCCAAATGTAAAAGTGCTTCACAGACTCTCTGCAGTTTATCCAGAATACAAAAGTCATGTGTGAGACGAAAAGGTCAATGTGTAATTAGTGAGTGCAGTCAGTCACATAAGAAAACTCACTTCAGTGAGAACATATGAACTTATGATAATTTCCTCAGCATCACGACTATGCTTTATTCTATTCGACCCTTAGAGATTACGATAAAGATATCATGACTCTAAGACACATATGTATACAACTTTAACCCCACTTGATTCTAACTTACTTCCTTAGAATATATCCTGAATACAACCACTGCAAAATGATAAATGGTATCACAGGAAAACTTCCTACACAAGCGCCTTTTCTAAAACCTGTGTGCACAAGCAAACATCCAAGAAGGGACGGTGCATACAAAAGGCGCATACTCAAAGCTGTGGTGATGCTCAAACTGTTGGCCACATTTGGGACTCTTTCACAAGGGAAATCTCAAGGCAGCTAAACACCAGAGAACCTCCATGAATCCATACACATACCACAAAAAGAGCTAACGCATGGAAAACTCTGGAAGTATGGAACGGTGGGAAAGGTAGGCCGTACCAATGAGGCCCAGGAGACAACTTAACTCACTAGATGGCTTACACTGTACAAAGAGAAAATAAAACACTTGACAGGATTTTACCAAGAGTTCCTTAGCGCTGCAAAATTGCCATGTTTAGCCTGGAAATTAGGTGAAATTAGGCTGAATTCATCTCTATTTGAAGGGCCTCTCTGCAGTATAGCTAAAAATGCCAGAAGATAGAGCGTGAGCTAAGAAGGCTTTTATTTTCCCCCTCACAGACATGAACTATTTAGGAAGTATTTAAGTTAAGCAGGGGTGTTGAGGTGACTCAGTGAGGAGAGGGGCTTGCCACCAAACCTGATGATGTAAGCTCAACCTCCAGAACCCACACAAGGGAAGGAGAGAACGGACTCCCAAGTCATCCTCTGATATCCAGATGTGCACACACCTGCATGTGCACATACATGTATGTACACACACACACACACCTTAGAAAGACCAGTAAGCATAAATGAAATAATAACTTGGGGGTTCTAGAGATGGCTCAGTAGGTAAGAATACTAGATGCTCTTCTAGAAACCCCAAGTTAGGTTCCCAGCACCCACATGGCAGTTCACAACCATCTGTAACACCAGTTTCAATACCCACAGGGAGAGAGAGAGAGAGAGAGAGAGAGAGAGAGAGAGAGAGAGAGAGAGAGAGAGAGAGAG